GGGGGCAATTGTAAGCGTGATTCTCTTGATTTTCGCCTCAATCAGCACTCATTAGATCGAAGTGGTAACTACCATAACATTACAAATTTTGATAGGAATCCAGAATTGAAAATTTGTATGACATGTAGTTGACTATTTTTGTTGCTAACCTGTCTAAGCTCTCGTCCCAGAGGCACTAAAGTACCCATCCCAATCTCCTTTATTCATTTAGTGCGCGTAGCTCATCTGTTTACCACAAAATTAAAATTAGTTAGAAGTATCAAATGGAAGAGGAGCAATTGCTTGGCAAACATCTTTAAGTGGATTTGTGCTCTACTATCAATTTATCCACTGTTCATGTGACTAACTTAATGAGTTATGGCAGATGATCGAGGGTATGTCTTTGTACTTCAACCACTTAGACGCAAAATATTAGATACATTTTTAGAAAAACTTCCATGTAGCATAGAGTGGTCATTGCAATATATTTTTGCCTTTTCCATTCAGACCGGAGTTTCAGCAACTATTGGCCCAAGAACCCGATTTCTCCACCGGCCCATTCACTTACAGACAAACGGTCGCGGTGCTTTTCCTCCTTCTCTTTGTTTGTCTCAGTCTCGGCGCCTACTGCCTCTACAGTCGTAAACGGTCTCCGGTCCGATTTGACTTTACATCTGGTGGCAGTGGAGGTCTCAATGGTAGTAGTGTCTTGTGGCCTTTCAAGAAGCTCTTTTTGCATTCACCTAATGTGAAGAATAGCAGAGGTGCTGTGGGAACTCCCATTGGCTCCGCAGGTGTTGGAAAACGAACCCATGCAGCGAATTACCATTACTCGATGATAACCTCACCGAGTCTTCAAGTCAACTTCCGGTCTTCTAATTCACTGCCTACATTTGAGGATCTTCAAGACAGTGGGAATCCACCGAAGGGATCGCCAACGAATATTGTGTGAAAAATTGCATACTCTCTCTCTCTCTCTCTCTCTCTCTCTCTCTCTCTCTATACATTTATATACATATATATATACATCCATGTAAACGCTACCATTATATGTGAAGAGCAATATTTATTTAATGAAGGCATGTGATTATTTTTGCTGGACGAATTTTCCAGCCAAAGTAACTCGAGATCGCTTATAGGAAAATTGTGTTGTCGGTGGCAATTGCCTGCCTCCACGTCTGCCAAGTCGAGGGTTCTGTGGCAAATACACGGAGCTCAGTAAATTCCTTAAATGGCATTAGTGGGATGCCTTTGATCTATCCCAATTGAATGATATTTACACGTCTCCTAAAAGAATTGAATAGCACTTTTGCCTGCAGTTAGGCAGTTCACTTGCACTTTATGAAGTCATCGGATGGACTTCAATGCCCCACAGGTGCATACATGGTGAACAGTGTATAAGGGGGACCATTAAATTTAGGCTTGAGGCTTGGATTTCTGAGCAGAGGGGCTAGATGATGTTGCACCTTTATCCTGGGTGCGTGCTGGAAAAAAACATGCCAATAGTGACCTTAAGAGTAACTACAAAGATTCAGGACGGTCATTATGCAGTAGATTACAAACAAAATTAGGCAGGCATCAAGCAATATTTCAAAGCGGCTTTCATTTAGGATTATCTAGTCAGTTAGATTATATTGGGATCAGTTGAGCTTATACAGTCATTTCAAATGAAGAGCATATCAATAGGCTAAACTTTGGGTCAAGCACACGAGTCAGTGTCTGGTGAAGTAAATTGGCGCAATATTCATTACTTGAATGACTGTTCAATCATAAAAGTGCTATTAGCTCATATGTTTTTCTGTCTAATATTATTAAATGCAGGTGGAGCTATAAATACGGACTAGGAAATGATGACACAAGGAGTCCAAAAGATTCTGCTCATGATAAGTGAATGAAAATGAAATCCTTCAGAAGACAACGAATTGATATACACCACATGGAATGTTCTGAATGGAATTTTCAACAGTTCGAACTTTAGAGAAAAACGAGGCAGTGAGAGATTTCCAAGATAAGTTTAAATATTTCGTAAAGTGAAATCATATTAAAACGAGGATATCAACTATTTTTAAATAATTTTAACTCTAATTAAATATTTTTCATTTAGTGTCTCATTACAACAAAGCAAGCTAACATTTGTGAGCCAGAAAATGTTTAAAAAGATAAAATTGAAAATAATTATTTGAATTATCTGGTGAATATCTGGGTGGATTACAATCCGAGTTTCAGGTTATCTCAAGTAATTCAGGAAGGGTGAGTCAATGTGATTAAATTGAAAAAGGCATAAGGGAGGTTGTGAATATAGATTTGCCAAAAGCATTAGATTAAATATAACTTAAAAAATTGAATTTCAATTAAAACTTATTTTTATAGACTTACAACATTAATAAACATTTAAAAGGATAAATTTTGCTTAAGTATTTAAATAATACAGTTTTTTCAGACTTGATATCACATAATAAAATAAATCGAATTGTCTAGTACTATTAAAATATTCGAATATATTTCATAAAGTATAAACTAGTAGGTCGTTTAAACCTTTTAACCTGGTGGCAACAATTTTGTGCTTGACTTGGTATACGCTTCTTCAATGAATGATGTAAGTTTCTGTGGACTTACTACCTTGTAGTTCATGTTAGGTTCTTTTTCCCAACGATACCTTTATTATTTTTTGCAAAATAGGTTTTATATCTTACTCTGATTCTTCTAACTGTTTTCCTATTCAATTATATTAGTGATTAATGTTGTTTTTCACGCTATTAGAAGCTTCTATTGAAAAAACACTTTGTTCCGGCTTCACAAGTTGACGAATGTCATCATGAAAATTCGCGGGAACAGGAGAAGCCGGTGTCTTCTGTTAACGGGGAAGAAATTCGTGATTTCTACTTAAGCCTTTTCGATAAAAAGGAAATTGTACCCTCCTGTGACCAACCCCCTCATCATCAGTCCTCTATTACTTGCTCCGAACAATGTGATCCTTGCTCAAAAGCACATTTTTCTTCCCTTCTCCACCAAGCATCTATATTAGCACAAGAACCACCAAGACTCTCTCCCCTTCTCATTCCCTCTTCTAATCCGGGCTACAAAATTCTCTCCCGTCTAGGATGGTCTGACCCTGCTGATTCTAGAACTTCTTTGGACTCCCCTGATAGTTCCACTAACTACGTGGGTGGACTTGGACGTCAAGGTCAAGGTCGCCGTCTCCCGATCCCCACTGTCCTCAAATGCGATCGATCCGGCATCGGTGCGAAGACCAAAAGCCATCCCAGGATCACTCACTTTTCTCCTCACGATACTCGTGCAGTTGAGAGTCGACATGCATCTAGGTGTCTCGTTCAATCGTTGAAGTTGGACAAAAGATATCGAGAGAAAATAATTAAAGTTGAAAAGCGAAAGGAGATTCGATTTAGGATGGAATTTAGATTTGATGACGATCAGTTGAGTCTTTTATATGGAGAGCATGGCTGTCATTTGTAGATATTTTGATTTTCATGTATATACATAACCTTTACTTATTAAACTTATTTGTTGACTTTATTTTTCATTATTTCTAAAGATTAAGCCATTATGATCGGTTATCAACAGCAACTCGATTCTAATCGAACGCAATTACCCTTATTGCTTTGGTATTTTGGTCTTTATATTTCCGAGAAATAATACGCGTGACTGCCAACTATCGTATTCGATCGTTTACTGATCACAAATTTGGACTTCACAATAATATACGCTTTTTGGTTATGCCCATAAAAAATTGTAGCACACGATTGAATGCTTAAACACCACAGCCATTCTGATTTGTTATTGAGTTCAAAAGCATCTATTACTCCAAACAAGTCAGTTATAATAGCTTAGCTTAATCTCTCAGTATTAACTTCCCGGTGGATTACACAATTGTCGATTTTTTTCAGTAAGATATTCATTAACCGATTGCAGAACTTCCTCAAGTAGAGCGCAGCTTGGGGTTCCATTTTTAATAAAAGTTTGATTTTTCAAACACAGGAAAAGTGAATATTCTAGCATGTCGTGAATTTCGAAATTAAATTAATGTAATTCAGAAGGGGAACATCATGCGCTGGAAATTGACCCTGAAAACTACCAGTTAAGACTTCTCAACTATACATAGTAATCGGCTTCGGAATCACATTTATGGTATTTCTGATAAGATTTTAATAGTTTAGCCATCATTTTAAACAGTCTCGTGATAAAGTAGTGCTATTTCCTTTTAAAACAATAAAGCATAATGATATACAACTATGTCTATCCCTTTTACTCACCATACACTTTCATTAAACCCCACAGCTAGATTTTTCTGGGCATATGGACGCTGTCATTGGTCTGATGATCCTCCACAGACATAACAAGGTGGCAAAACTTCGCACAGAATTGAAAGAAATGCTAATTAGACGATCGCGCTATGATTTGATCTAATAACGCGTTGAAAGAATGGTTCCTTTTAGTTTCATTAATGCATACTTCCAAATACTGGCATTATTTATTTATTTATATCAAATGGCAGGCGTCTTGATGGTTATCATTAGCCCTTTAGTTGACTTCAGGCTTCACAGAGAGGGGAAGGAACATCAAATTGAAAAAGTCGATAGGGAGGCGGGGGGGGGGGGAACAGAAGAGTATTTCAAAGATGTAAGAGACAGACACAAAGGTAGAACAAAGGTGAGGTGAGTACTGTGGAAATAGTCGAATATGGCATAGAGTGAGGTGATGGTAGTTTGAAGTGAGAAGTCAAATGCCGATTAATAGACATTTTTGCCGTATGAATATACGTTGCCCAGGGTGCACCACGTGGAGGTAAGTCTATCGCACACCCCATACTGGCATTATAGTTTTATTTATTCGTTGCCTAATCTTTAAAGGAATTTTGAATAAAATGGTTTCTCATTTTTGTAAGGTTCTGATTTGGGAAATTTGATTTGTACCTCTATCAAGGCTCAAAGAAGAGCTTGGAGATTGTGGTGTCCCTCCTTTCGACTTGTCCAACTTGTTGGCGGATTATATATCTCCATCGTCCCTGGTTGTGATGGTTGAAGTAGCAAATAGATAAAGTCTCCATTTTTTCTCGAGTTTTTAAAACTGACTGGATTTCAACTCCCATTAGTAACGACAGCCGTATCCTCGTCGTAAGATTAGCCTCTGAAAGTCTTGTTTAACAATAATTAATGCAATCACAGATGTGTTAGTTCAGGGAATCTCTAGAAGAAATACTGATTTAACACCCCCCAAACAATAACTAAAATAGAGATTTCCCAATTGTGAAAATTCTTTCAACGTACAACTTAAGTTAATGTGGCAACATGATAACCTCCTCTCCGTACTAGCATTTGATGGTTGTGTATGAGATCCGCAGCACCAGTTAATGGAATCAATTTGAAAAAGACATTCTGCACTTACTAGCACTAACAATTAAAACTTTTGGACTAATAAGGGGGCATAAGATGCTAGCTGTGAAGAGTGCGATTCGAAGTCTAAAGAACTCCATTTTCGGGTTATAACTCTTGCTTGAGATTATCCAAATTGGTGCACTGAAGGTGATTGGATGACATTAGCTCTGATATAGATCTCAATTTAATATATGAAGAGTCTCGATGCTCTATTCGTATCGTTGTGATTGCTGTTGCAATTCGGTCGAGGGGTCTTGAAATTTGGATTCAGAAATGTAAACTGCCCCGTAAACAAATGTGGGGCCAATGGACTTCTAGAGGGTGAAATGGAGTAGGGTTCTGGTACCTTGACTTTATGCTCTACATCTTATGGATCCCCATATCCTCCTCATTCGTTGAAGTTTCCGTTTCTCACAATCAGATAATCCTTGTTGTTAAAAATTTCAAATTTCCTTTACAATGGGGACAATGGTGATATGAAGAGTAATTAAAATAACTTTACTAATGATCAATTAAATCGGAATCTTGGGGACACAAATCAATCATTCTAATTAACCTACTAAATATCTTATCAAATAAGGTCAAATGCCCCAATTGAAGGCATGCACTTAGTTTACATACTGTTGCATATTGGCGTTTTTGATGGCAATCGTCCTTAAAATGGAGGAGATAAATTCTTTGATGCTGTTAATTGGTGGCCGATATAATTATAGCATTGAACAAGATAGTTTGAGGCTAATCCACGTGAGTGCTTATCATACTCGAATTTAAAGTCCATTTTAATAAAGTTCGAATGTGAGGTTACACTTACGCATCTGACCTCATACTCACATAAAATGTAAACTTTGTGTATTTCATTAAATAAACAATAAATCGGTCAATTTTGTGAATCTTTAGAAGTCTTTTAAGTAGGGACCATACTCGGTGCGCACCGACGGCTATTCTGCGGATGCTCAACTTTGCTTGTAAATTTAATCACGAAATAATAATAATAATAATAATAATAATAATAATAATAA